ATTCATAGATCGCAGCTGAAGATTAGCACAAACTATCCATAATTTGATAAATTATGTTTACCAATGAATTTGCGATAAAATACGATGAGATTTATTTATTTTTTTCTTTCGATGTAAAATTTTATTGTCATTGAATTATTGACAAAATTAAAAATTAAGTGTTATTAGACTTTATATCGTAGCACAGCTTTATTTTACTTTTATTTTTTTTTTTGTATAATGATTGTATGGTTATCTATCTGTGAATGCAATTATATAATAATTTTATCAATTAATTGACGATATGGTTAATGAGTGGATAAAACAATTAATTATGTAATTACTGTCGTTGCTCGCTATTTCGTTACGATACAACGGTTTCGAATAATAAAAATTCTTGTATTGCTACATCATCAATGATAACTTCATTCGATAATTTTCTGCTCTCTTCGTAATTAATAAAATCAATATTTTCTTATTCGATTATTGCTTTCTATTTATAAATTCTATTATTTATGCAATTAGTAATGTATAGAAAAATTTTATATAAATTTATTTCTGAACAACAACAAGCATATCGAATGTACGTGTGCGAAAGAATCTTTTAGATTTTTAATTCTAAGGTATTCCTTTGTTTCAATTTTCAATGATTAATCATTAAATGTAATAAACGGATAAGTGAATATATATATATATATATCTCTTTTTCTTCATTGTAAAGAAAAATATAAAAAATATTTCTCATCTTACAAATTAAAATATACTCTCTGATTTGAAAGAAAGAAAATTTAAACTTAAGAGAAATAAATTAATTTATTTATTTCCTTCATACAGACATACAAAAATGCTCTTGCGTAATTTTCAATATTTTTTATTTCCTTCTATTTTTAACTCCGAAGATGTGATTCACCGATTCACATTCTTCGTCCCACCAAAGATCGGCTCTCGAAACATGTTCTTCTTCCACTTCTTGCTTTTATTTCTCTAATTGTACATTTAGCACGAGTATATTAAGGATCGATTATTTATAACTTGCCAATTATTTATTTTCGTAATAAGCACGACGATATTTCTTTATCCAATGATAATTTTAATTTAATAAACTGTGTCGAAAAATATCCTGGATATCATTAAATAAGTTTTTTCTATTAAAAAAAGAGAGAGAAAAATCACTTAGAATTTGTTTACATGTAACTTATATATATATATAAAAATGTTTATTCTTTGTTACATAAATTTTTGCGAAAATTTTCCATTATACGAAGAAAAAACATCGATATACGATAAAATATTTTTAAATATTGACACGAGAGAAGGATGATTCTTAGGTTTTTGTTATAATTCAGCATCATTTAAAAGAATATTCCGCATTATGTCATGGAAAATTGCTGTTTTTTTATTTTCAATACATCAAAAAACCATTAATTCGACACACTTCGATACTATTACAAGTAAATTAATCTTCAGGAATATTACCACGGTCATCGATTGGTAGCAAAAATTAAATAATACCAAGAGAGACGATATATCATCGAAATATTTTCAATTTGAAAAGGATCAAAAGAACGAAATTTGAAGATTAAATTTTAAGTAAAAGTTAAGAAATGAAAAGTTGTTAAATTTAATATAAATAAACGTATACATTGAAATATATTTGAGTATAACAGAAAACTATTGTCTTGCAAACACGAATGATACAAGAAACACGAACGACCTTCACCGATCTCCTCATGCTTTCAAAATTCGAATCGATTCAATTTATCTTGCTTCAACTCACCGTCATTTATCTCATTTCGCCTAATTCCACGTATCCACACACGTCTTGTAATTTACGTTAAGCATAACGCATTATACCATCTCAAAAAAGGGATGAAACTTTCTTAAAAATAATTATTTATAAAATTCGAATAACGAGATTAAATCTGTTTTCAATCTTGTAGATTTTAGAATGATTTTAAAACGATTCACAAGAATACATGTTAAACATAAATTAGAAAATTTACTCGGCAAATAAAAATGTTTTTCTTCGACGATTCTGCAATTATTCTTTATTTATAAGCTATTTTCAAATGTTGATTTCCAAACGTCTCGCTGGACGTTCACCTACGCGATGATGATTTAACTCTTAACTGGTTTTCATTTTCTTATTGGCAAACGAGGAATTCCCGTCCTCGTGCGATGACGTCCTCATCGAAGCTAAGATATCGCCGACCCGATGGGAAAATGTATCGTGAATTCTGTTGTTGATTCTTAGCGTAATCGTGGTTAATTGTCTCTCAGAGGCGGACGCAATTATTTTATTCCCTCGTAATTTGGAAAATCAAAATTCATGCTTATTACGTACATAGGCAACGCGCGAAATTGGATTAATCGTATTTTGCTTAACACGTTGTTTGTAATTTTTAAGATTTATACAGGTAATATTTTAAACCATCATTTTATTTTATTATTGAACCGTATCTCGTTATTCGAAAAAGATTTTAAATGCGATTTGCGACGAAATTTATTATTATTATTATTTTTAATCGCTTAATAGAATTTATCATGCGAATGATATAAAAATACAAGAAAGTGTCCTTGTTTCTATGAGGCGGTATCTATAAATACATCAGTCATAACAGTCGATAGTTGATGTCACTAGTGAAGAAAAATAATTTGGACAAAAGCGAAATGCAAAGAAGTATTCGTCGAGTGCATACAAACGTTGTAGGAAGAAGAGTTGATATGTAAACTGACGAGACGATTGCATTCTATGCGACCTCCTTAAACGGAGGAGGAACGTGTACGCGTGCTAATTAATTCTTTTATAAGTCTCGGCTGTTGCGTGATTGTCGATGACGGAGCCTCTGCTATTATTCCAAGTTAAATATGAAAATATAATAGACACGAGAAATATGAAATAAATGAAATAAAAAAACATTTTCCAACTTGCAGTTGCAAAAATTTTGAAATCATCAACACTTTTGTCGATTAAAATGAAAATATCTACAAAATCAAACATTGATAATAATTACATTTGTACATACATGATATTTCCAAAAATTTTCCACAAAAGTTCCAAATCCCTTGAATTCGAAGGAAGTTTATTTTTTCAAACCTTCAATATAACTTCGATACTGCCTTCAAAGCATTGTGCTTCAAACGCAACACTGTTATTGCAATTATTTTGAACTGTATTAGCAATAAATCTCAAAATATCGACCTTGAGCCACGTATCTCGACGCCGTGTTACGTATTCGCGCGACCTGGAGAGGCTAATTCCTCCACAGATGTTTCTGGGACTCAGTCGTTAGTCTGGTTTTATTAATAGCTTGCGTGCATGCAGTCAGTTGAAGCGGTTTCATTCCTACAATCTATACAACCAGTGTTTGTTTGATGACAAGAACCACGGCGATACGGACGAGCACGTGATTCTCTAACGTTAGAAATGTTGATAAAGAAATTTGTAGACAAATTTTTCTAGATAATGATAAGATGTTCGTTGTACATATAACAATGAAGGATAAAAATTCTATCGTTTTCTGTCATTTTTGCATCTCTTGCATTTAGCATTGGTAGCAATCGTCGTAGGTGAGTCATGAGATTAGTGTAATACAGGCTCTGTTCCAACGAGGCTTATTTGCATCTGAATGCAATCGAGATGCACTCTAAATTGTTACGTCGAAGAAAAAATTATAGAGTTGTTAAATCCTCTCTTATATTTTCAACGAGAAAAATAAACAACAGAAGGTCAATAAATAAGAATTTATTGCACGAAGAATTAGAACAACTAATTAATAATTTTACTCTATGGTATATATATATATGGATATACGTTTACAGGTAAACGTTCGATACAATTGTCCACGACTAAATATTACATATCTATGTAATCACACATAACACCTCGTGTTAAATCGTGTTAGTAACGTGTCGAGCAACGTGTTAAATCCTGGCACACACAAAAACGAAAAAAACTAGAGTTTCCAATCGAGTTTCCACGTTTTCAGAAGATGCCTCTCTCTCTACCTTATCTCATGTTCCGTGTTTTCTTGCTGCTCCTTCTCCTTTTCCTCCTTCTCGACCACAATTTTATGATAGAAATCTTTCCACATCGCCTCCTCATCCATCCTTCAACGTGTGTTTCTCTCACGGTCAATGGGTGAAATTCACAACATCCTCATTCGCCGTTTACGGATCGAATAAAACTTTCTCTCGTCCGGGCCAACGTCACTTCCAACGCGATCTACGAGTCGTTCATCGTTGAAACTACGCAATGCTCGATCAGTATAGGAAAAAATTTTGGTAAATTGAGTTAACGCCGGTTGGTCAGCTCGTAACAGTCAATACTGTTGCGAGTAACACGTTTCTATATCCTCCATTCACCAGTATTTCCGTTCCAGCCGACAGATGGCGCATGCTACCAGACCACGCATCGATAACCTCTCTGAATTTCTCGTTTCCAACTATGGAACGAGATGTATTATAATTTATGACACGGATCGATACGATTTTAATTCGTATTTTTAATATTTATTTAAAGTAATCGAAGTGAATCCGCTCGAATTGTTGTTGCTTCATTGTTTGGAACCGAGGATTTGGTAATTTTTTCGTATTTGGCTTCGTGATGGCGTCGTGATTCTTGAATAGCACGGATGAGTCAATGTTTAGGGATGAGAATTGTCATTGCAATGACATCATGCGTTAGTTGGCATCACGTTAGGTGTTTTGCCAAGGAATAATTCGAGCGACTGAGATGATTTTAATGAATTCGTCGAGTGTCATTGGCATTATGGCGTGTCTGGTTCGGAGGAAGTCGATGATCCTCCATTGTGCCATTGCCAATTTTTGGTTTTGATTTTTGACGGACGCATTAGATATCTTTCGTATATCTCTGAGTAATTTTTTTAATCTTTGATGAATACAAATATGAATTTTTGATTTTTCTAAAATACGACTAAATAAATTATTCGAAATATAACAATAAAAAAATATCTATAACGAACGCAATACGTTAAGAACGATAAGAGGGGAGGGGAAAAGGAAGTTTAAAAATAGAACATTGAATATTTCCTCAACCTCCTATCCTATTTTCAACAAATGGAAATCTCCTTCCTTGTTATTTATCTTTATTCCATTTTGTTCATCCTGCAATATTTCTTTCAAGATATCACAAAAACGACATTTATAGGGTCTCGTATGACACACATTCGATCAAATCTGATGATGTACTCTGTACATACTTGTGTTGGACGTTGGCTAAACAATATTTCATTATCCAGTTATCAGAAACAAACGCAACAATGCCTTGAGAAAATTACTATACACGTACATACCAGAGTATAAAAAAAAGAATCAAAGTTTTTAGAAACAAGTACTTACATTATTTCCATGATGATTTCCAAACTAGTTTCATTTCTTCTACTCTCAAGTAAGTATCTTTAAACGAACGAAATCTTCTCAATAATATTTGTGATATATTTTTTTTTTTATGATAGATTTCCTTGTACGTTTCGCTATCTCTGAGCATGTCGATCGAAAAAATCCTATCGCACGCGACGATTTACAATCGACCGATCCCAACACGTTCGTGTTGGTCAATCCTAGACAAGTGCATCGTTTGGAAACGGGAATTGGAGATTTTTTCTCGAAAATAGGGAAGCCTATAAGCAAACCGATTGTATTAAGATCGGCGAAAGAGGCCGATGTGTTGTCAACGATTCGAGAAATATGCAAGAATATAAGGAAGAGCATAATTGAATTCTTTAACGATTTTGGATTGATCGATACCACGGTTCAACTGTACGAGAATAGGTCGAGAGAGGATCCATTGTCCGATGATTGGTATTCCGAGGTGTTGCTGCAAAGCGTGTATACAATGCTGGACCTGGGAAATATGATTAATGAAATTACATCATTGACCGATATATTTAATAAAAATGGAAACGCGACTTCGAGAAGAAACGAGGTCTGTAGAATTTTAAAAACATTTTTATAATTAAACAGATTTAAAAAATTTTACTTCTTTTAATTTCAAATCGAATCATTAATAAAATTATATTATAAAAATATTTTCAATCATTGTATTAACGAGATATAGATAGATTTACACGTTTCACAATTTTATACACGGAAATATATATTTTTTTTAAATAATACGTCCATGTAACGCCCTTTCAGAAAATCCAAAGATTTATAGATTTTCTTCTATTGAATTTTACCAATTTATTCAACAAATTTCCTCTTTTTGTAACTGGAATGATTATTTCATGTAATCGAAAAATTAAATTCCCTTCTTGAAAGTTATAAAATTTCTCTAGAATTGACAAAAAATGTTTACAACATCGTAGAGTCTGACGAGCGAAACAGTTTCGGACGGTTTCCATTTCCTTGGCTCTGTGAACGACATATTGGAATTCATCAACAAACTGGCTCAATGCTTTTTAGAAATGAACACGAGAAACCATAAATGGTCTTCGAGCGTGATTCGAACGGCTTTAAATCTGATGAGCCACGCGCCAAGACACGCCCTCAGAAATATAAAATCGAAAGTAAACGACAGTTTGGTGAAGAGCGATATTCTCAGATATCGCGGCCCACAGAAACCGTGGCACGTTTTTCTTGCCTCGTGATTATAAACGATAGAATTAAATACAAGGATTGCATCGATGAATTTCGACGTTTCGACGAGTGCAGCACGCGATCGACGACAAGCGAGGCGTTGTCGTACGACATCGACACGAGATCGTGGACGAAGGCGATTCGATGTTTGAGCAATTGCACGGCAGTGGAGGACGAGAACGGGGAGGAGGAGATTTTCTGCAAAAATGTTCGAAGAACGCCGAAGAAGATGAAAAGGAAGGTGAGCTACGTGTTCGAGAGGATCTTGGACAGGAAGATATCCAAAAGGACACCTTTTCATCGCGCTGTCAACGATCTTGGAGAAATTTTGTCGAAAAGTATTTGGGGACAAAGATTCGTCGACGAATTGTGCCAGTGCATCAATATTTTCGAGGATGGTAAAGAGAAGTTGAGGAAACTTTCAAAATTCGCGGGCAAGGATGAGAAAGCTGCGATGAAGTTAGTATGATTTTAAATTCAATTCCAATTTTGCTTCGTTCGATTTTTAAATGAAAATCGATTAACAGATTTTTTTTTAATGGAAATTTAGAGATTTTATCGTTAAAAGGATTCTTTTAAGTTCTCATTGAAAGAGAGTATCGGAGTTGATTTCGGGAATCATTTCAAAATTGCAATTTATGTTTGTTAAATTTTAACTTTCCAAGTCGATACTTGGACAATATATTTATTCGTTGAAAGGATAATGATAATAAAGAATATGAAATTTATATAGATCGAATAAATTTTGAAATTGTCAATCAGGCACGAGGAGATCTCGAGAGCTTTAAAGTCGTACAAAAAGGGGGCACTTTTGAGAACGTTCAGAACGATCAACAAATTGCATCGATCCGCCATTGATTTCGAAAAATTCTTCGCGCAAGGGATGAAAGAGACTTTGAAACAAACTTGGCAGAGCCATGTTAACGTTTTAACACATCTGATGGACTGGATGACCAAACTGTTGGAGCTTTACAGCGGCGAGAATGGACACGAACCGAGCTCGTCAGAGAAGAGCACGTCGCAAGTCGAGTGGAATAGCTACGAGAATTCTGAAAATACGCAAGAGTTTGCAACGCGTTCTAGAACAGGTTACTTCAATTTTCAATCCCTAATTAATCCAAATCACTTATATTTAGTTGTATTAAATATTTTATCGACGTGAAAATTGTTGAAGAAATTTTACGGATACAATTCCCAACTTGAGAATATAGATTCCTTTTGCGGAATGAATATTTTTTTCAATTATTCTAGATAAAAGAAAAAGAGAATCCTTGCTTCACATTAATGGCGCAAATTTGATAAGAAAAATGATATTTTATGCATGACACAATTTCATTTCCAGAAATGATAAAAGATGCGGACAACTCTATGAATAGCCTGGTGGAATCGATGAATCATTTAAACAGATATCGAGACGTGGACGACAACAGTATGCTGGCTTCTGTGGCCAATAATCTTCTACTGATCGTGATATTCATCGAAACTCTAGGCTTCGTTTCTTCGTTGTACGCTCTTGGACAAACCCCGAATGAATATGCTTCCTTGGAAATCGAGTACAGATGGAATCGTGAACGTAGATCCCTGTTTCCCTCTCAATACGATCAAATTATCGATTTTCCATCGCGTGATCACCCTCTTTTTGCATACGATAAAAATTCCACGTTACCATTCTCGGATGAAAATGATTGATTTGAATTTTGAAATTGTTCGAGAATTCAATTTTAATTTCAATCGTGAATATTGTGGTATATATGGTATGGGTTCATAAAAATAAATTAGTTGTAACATTAAAAATGTATTTTGCGAAATAAACGTGCCTCTTTTGATCTCCAATACGGACAAATCTATATTTATCCCTATTAATTATTACATAATGTAAAAGAATAAATAGATTTTCAATTAAAAATAAAAATTCTTCATCTTATCAATCCTATTGTATTTTTAATCTTTTACGTTTTCTCATTGGAGTTTATTTTGGACCTTTGAAAAGATATAAAAATATTTTGGCCAATAACTGATAAATATGGTGAAATATCATCGCACGTATTAAACAATATATATTTTTTTATATGGTGTTAAAATACCATAAATCTTAATATATTCTTGTAACTGTTTTCTAGAATCTTCCATCTTATCAAATCTTTGTTCTTGAAAATAATAATAAATAATTTTTAGTGACATCATTGCCGTGTAACATTTATATGCCTCCGAAGATATAAAGCATTCTGTTACACAGAATGCCATACAGATTTGTTAAACGCACTCGTTCAAACTGTCAGTAAAAATGCATGCAATATCTATTATTTTTTACTTAACGTGTAAGTTTTTTTCATTTCTACAAGCAATATTTTCTCGAATTCAATTAACGATTTAATTAACGATTTTTCTTCATATTTTCAGGTATTTTTATTACGATAGATGTAGAAAATGTTTCTTGCAAAGCGACAGTAAAAATCATTGGTGGGCAACCTGTTAGTATTAGATATCGACCATTCATGGTTAGTAGAATTTATCAATCGATCTTTTGAATAAATCGGTGGAACGATTATATTAAATATAAAGACAATTGCAGCTTTCTTTGCACAGTTCTGATGGATTCATATGTGGAGCTAGTATTTTGTCCAAAAATTGGGGTATCACTGCTCTTCATTGTGTGTAAGTTCCTTTACTTAATAAACAACGAATGGCAATGATTTTGAAAAAGAAAGATACAAAATAAAAATTTTTACAAAACTTGCAGAAAAAGCTTGTCTCGATTAATATTCTCTAATACGGAATATGAATTTATTTGAAAATTTTCTTTAAACAATCGAGTGGCCATTATTTAGACTTTCAGATAGAGAAACAAGTTATTACGTGAGAGCTGGCTCGAACAAGCCTTACCAAGGGGGATCGTTCCATAAATTAACAAAGATATACATGTATAACAATACCATATTCCAATATTGGTTCTCGAGTATACTGCACCACGATATAGCGTTGTTCGAGGTACGACCCCACTTTCAATTCTCGAGCACTGTTCAAGCTGTTCGATTGCCCACCGAATTCAGCAAACCGCCCGAGCAACTGTATGTTTGCGGTTGGGGTTATACCTCTGTCCAAAACGTGAGTGTCTGTCTGTCTTGTTTCCCAATCGTCACGCCATATGAGTTTAGATTTATTCGAGATCCTGATATATCGCAATTATGAATATTTCAAACTTCTTTCCCAACTTGAAATTCCATATTATTCATATTATATTTTGGGATGTATGCGTCTCGAATTTTTAAAAAACTTTTTAATCTTCCCTTTCTCTCCTCTCCAGGGGAAGATTAGCGATGTTTTGACGGGGATCTGGGTTCGCTACACACCGTACGAGGCGTGCATAGAGGAAAGTCCAGAATATAGAATGCTCGTTAAGAAGGATTACCACCTTTGTTACGGAGCAAGTGGAAAGGATTCTTGTTACGGGGATTCCGGTGGTCCGCTGGCGAGTAAAAACATCCTTTACGGTATCGTCTCTTTCGGCAAAAGTTGCGCTGTCGTGTCAGGAGTGTACGTGAAAGTCTCTTACTACAGACGATGGATTAAGCAGATCACAAACCTATGATCGAGTGTGAAACAACGTATTGTAAAGCAATATGATTGAAAATCGTGTCATTTTAATATAAAATGAAATAACAATATGAAGATGATAAATAAATCGATTGATTCGACGCAATAATATAAATTGATTTGTTTCGGGCGAGAGAGCAGTCATTTCCAGGAAAGTGAAGAACCGGTGTTCAATGTCGGCTTCGTATGTTCAGGTTCGATGCTCGCAGGAAGTCCATTTACGCACGTTCTGCGCAAGATCCTGTCGCGCGCACACAACCACTCGGCGCACGTACCGTGTACTTAGGCCTGAATGAAGTTCGAACAGGGCCCTTGGGTAATACGTAATTAGAAACTATTGTGCGCGGTTGTGTTATCGGCACGCATAAGTAAGTATGGTTATTTTCGAACAAGTTAGATATCCGATCAACAGTCGGAGATTTGGAGAAACGAATACCAATTTATCCTCCTCTTCTTTTAAATATATATATATATATATATATATATATATTATTTTGTAAGTAATTAATTAGGTAAGATTCTTGTTG